TGAGTACATATTAATTACCTAATTTGCATAATTAATTAATTTTCAGCTTTTGATATTTCAAGTAGTAATCACATTTCAATGACACTTGGTACCTAGATGTCATAGAACACTGCACAGACCTGATAGTTTTTAGGGTAATATGAGTACATATTAATTACCTAATTTGCATAATTAATTAATTTTCAGCTTTTCATATATCAAGTAGTAATCATATTTCAATGAGACTTGCTACATAGATCTTCTAGGATTATGCAGACACCTGATTAGTTTTAATTGGATATTAATTACCTAATTTGCATAATGTTCCACTGATATATAAAGAACCACAAATTGGATTTTAATGAAACTTTTAAAGAGAACTATGTAGAAACCCAATTAGTTTTTGGTAAATATTTATGCTTATTAATCACCTAATTAACATAATTAATTAACACCGATATCTCAATTACTGATCATCACATTTGAATAAAATTTGGTACATAAATGCTCTAGGACAATAGACAGGCCTGATTAATTTTGATTAATATTAATTCTCTAATTAGCATAATAATTCATATTTTTTTGTTCTGTTCTGTTCATATTAGTTACCTGATTTACATAATTAGTTTTCAGCTTTTCCATCAATATCTCATGTACAAGTAATTTTGAATTAATTTTTAATGTGTCTTCAATACTCTCAGCACACAGGAGTTCTTTCTAAGCTTTCTTTGATTTTAAATTGTTAAAACCATCCGAGTCCACCTGACATAGCGCATTTTACAAAACAACTCCCGAGTGTTGAGTAATAATGAACTAGTCGTTGGCGGGAAGGCTCAAAGTAAAGATTCTTAGCGGGACGCGCTGCAGTTTCGCAACAGTTTTGGGCCAAACTAAAAGTTGTTTTTACATTACTGGTGCATTATGTATCAAATTCAGATTTTATACCGAGGTGGGAGAGTACAGTACATCAGGGATACATGGATGGAAAACTTGATTATAACGGTTTGATGGGCTTTGTCAAATCAAAAGTGCCTTCCTTGAGCGAATCACTTTTTCAACTGCAGTTTGAAAAAGACGGAGTATAACAACCGTTATTATGTCTAGTCCATTTTTGTAACAGGTACAACTGACTAAAATGAGCGAGAGGTTGACATTTTTCGACAGATTTAAGCAACACCCAACTTGTGATTTTCAAAATTACTGAAAATAATTACAATATAATTATAAAAAAATAAAGAATGGTTGCTGTAAACGCACGCTAGATAATACTTGCTATTCACCAAGCCGACAAATAGTAATCCCAAACCATGTGCCCGTCACTCAAGTGGCGCCGACAAGTCTAGATTGGGCAAAGACCAAAGTGTTTTGCAAAGTTGCAAGTCATTTTGCTAACTGACTGTCCGAATAATTCTCAGAACGGCTGTAAATATATTACAGACTGTAGACTGGTGTAATTACCTTGAGAGGTACAATCATCAAACCGTACTTGATAACCAACTTTTTCTCCTACTTCACACCTCATTTCCTCTGCAACTCGTGAAGCAACTGATACAGCAGCGACCCTTCTTGGCTGGGTTATACCTATCAATCCGTGCTTTCCATAGCCTACAAACATGTTTTTAGAGAAACATTAAACATAATAGCAGGGTTTTAAATAAAGAGAGGCTAATGCTTTTAGCAATGTTCCCTTAGAGAGCGACAAAACTCTAGGATTTTATGTTACATTCATACTATCTGATGCCTCTGGATAAAGTATAATTAAACTAGCAGCCTGTCCGCTATCAATGTACATTACAATTAAAGAACTGAAGATATCATGAGAAAATGAACAATATGTATAGTACCGGGTATTAAAGCAATCAGACTTTTTACAACTTTTTAACAAAAATATTCATTAAAATTAGATAATTGAAGAACAAAATCATCACGAAATGAACAAACCTGAGAGAGGACTACCTGTAGTAACTATGTAGTATATATAATATCAAAGCAATTAGACTTGCTTAGAATTAGAATGTTTGAAGTTCTAGTGATGAATCAGAAGTCAGTGTTGATGTGGACAGACTGAAATGCAGAGAATAGTGTTCGTGCCAATTGCCAGTTGATGCCAACTGTACTGGAGTACATTTGTTGCCAAAGAAATATCGGGATTAGATTTTTTGTGGTGACAACCCCTTGGTTTAAGACATAGCAAAGAAAAACATAGATTACAAGTGAAAGCATGCATGTCCAAGTTATCACAATTCAAACAAACAAGATGGCCGCCAGTTGGCCATATGTGATCAAATTGCAAATTGAATTGACATCTACATGTATCCATTTATGACATGCTAAATATCAATGAAAATGATACATGGGTGACAGAGATAAAGTAATATAAACAAAAATATAAACAGCCGTTATTCGACCATCTTTGATCTGATTATGAAACAAACTGACATGTATGATGTATGTGCCAAATACGAACGGTGACAAATTACCACGAAAAGAACTCACATTCTTTGAGAGTACTAGTACTTGTGATAAAATAGTTGTCAGACCACAAGACACGCAAGACCACAATCAAACAGCATTGTTTTACCAATCAAAGATGTGTGAAAGTATGCCCATTGTTTATAATCTGAACCCAATACACCAACTACAACATGAATCATTTCCTGTATTGAAACTATTGTAAATTCTCGTACAAAGAATCATGGCAGATATTAGGAGTTCTTACTACATTTCATGATAGAAGTGTGGCCAATTCAGTGTATTCACAAAAGCACCATGTTCGATTCAAATTAGTGAAAATGTTTTCTGGCAGAGAAAACAACATAATTCAACCATCAGTAAGATGCCATATAGACTACTAGCACTTGATAGGGGATAGGGTTATGACAAAACAAATGTAATATATACATTTAACATTGCAATTATTGTTTATTTGCCTCTACTGTCGATTGTAAGTTTATATGATGGTACTAGCTGTATTAACACATTGGTTGTTATGATCAGCGCACTACCAATTTGCATAATATCGCAGCATTCTTGTAATAACATGATATTTTAAATGGTCGCGTCCCTTCACGAATTAACATGGGAAGAATTGTGCAGGTGTGACTATTCAGGGTGCTGACAATGGCCGTCTGTTAAATTGTTAAGACGATGTATAAGTAAATAAAGAAAACCTGCTTATAAACAGATAACAAAAGGTTAGTTTATTGACCATCTCCGTTGGATAACAGTGATTGAAAAAAGTTTATTCACAAAGACACCTTTACTTTTTTCTTGCCTGTCTTCATATTGTAGGTTTTCATGGAAATCAATAATGTTCAAGTAATAATCTTATAAACTTGAAGTAAAATCAGTACTATTACTAAGATATTCACAGTTGTAAATTGTCTAAAAGTAGACAGGTTTTAGGGCTTAGAAAAGTGAAATGTGCTGGTTTACTGGTTCTCTCATCAGAGGTATAGACTGTATGCCGATTGGAGACATTAGGAGAATCTTTGTTTCAGGCCCATACTACTGTGAAATGCTTTATTTTAGCTGGAATTAATTTTCACTGAAAAGACTTTTTGGGTGTTATGTATGGAATATATGTTCACTGATTTTTGATGAGTTGAATGTAAAATATAGGAAAGGTACATTCGCTAGATTTTATTTTCACTGAATCATTCCTTCAGCGAAAATTAATTCCAAGCGAAAATAAAGTACAATGTAGTTAGATTGGGGTTTAATTTGGTTATGCAGAGCGCCCCCACACGGATTACGACCAAGGAGTATTGGTAAATATTAGAGCAGATTTTTTGATAAATTATATCACGTTAATCAAAGTAATGATATACTGATTTGATGATTTGCTGTATCAGTAACGCGTGCGTTTACGTTAATCACAGATGCATGTCTATGGCCAATATGTCAAGCGCACAGTTTCACATTCTCAGATTCGTACCTGCTTTATAGAGGAACTGGGGAAGTTGTGTCGTTTTTCCGCTACCCGTTTCACCAATAATGACTAGACACAGATTGTTTTCCACTGCTTTCAAAATATCTGATCTGAATTTCTCAATAGGAAGATTTGTTTGAAAACTTGTTTTCATTTTCGACTTTTCCGCCGCCATGTTGAAAAGTCGTATGTGTGTTCCAAATTTGTTAGCTCCAGATTTTTAAAAAAGTAGTTCTGTGCATGGAAACGATGAGACGTTTAACTATTATTGATTCGTCCGCACATATGGCGAATGGTCGTCAAGCGTGTAGTAATACTCTTGTTTATTAATTTTATTATTTGTCAAAGTACTTTAAACGTAGATAAAATAGCAATAACTAAAAATATTTGAACACAGACAAATTTTAACTTCTGTTTGACCGATTACTTCTGAGTACTATTTTTCTTAAGCTACCCTGGCGTAGTTACTCATTGTTATGAGCAGCTGTTAGAAGTCCCAATGTCCTCAACAACAAACAGTAATCGGGGAAGCAACCACCTTGTGTGGTAATACCTTTTGGAATCAGACTATATATACGTGCATAAATGTCTTGAATTATTCGAGATAAAAATGTCGAAAGAAGTCGTGAAATCAACGGCTAGGAAACTGTGAGTATTCGTTCTTGTTATCTTAACCTTGAAACTGTTGTGGATCTGTGGTTAAAAGTGGACTGAGATTGTACGTAGTACGATGGAGCCTTTCCTCGCCATGAGCACATTCTGAACTTGCTCCATGCTACGTAGGTGTCATAATCTAGCCATTTTATCTAGGAGTTTGGCACGACATTGTTATAAATGGCGTTTTCAAACTTTATCTCTCACACGTCATTATATTTTATGACACTTTCAGTTTCACGAGCAGACCTTCGTTTTTTTATGCCTTTGATAAAAGGATGTTTGTTCCCTCTGGAATTCGAACTCATACTATTGAGGCTCAATTGGAGATTTAAGTTTGGATGCTTTGAAAATAAACTGACTTCGTCTTTATTAGGGTATTGTGAGACAGTTGACTTAAAAAGGATGGCCCAGAAATTTGAAAAGCAAATACCAACCAAATTCTGACAGCTTAGTGACTTCCGTTTACCACTGTTAGTGTTACTGGTATATTAGGAAGAGTAAGTATATATTGGTCGTTAGTGTTCATAGAACCATGGAACTAAAACATGATAGAACTGTTCTTCTTTATCTCTTGATCTTAATATGCCATTCTCTATCCAAAAATTATTAAATTACTTTTAATTTTAAATTGTGACATTTGTCAATAGAATGATGATAAAATAAGTAACAGCTACCTGGTTGAGTCTTGATGAAATGCTTGTTACATTTCCTGTCAGCATCACTATACTGTAAAACTATTTATTTTCACTATTTTAGAAGTCTGAGTCTTTTCACTGGGTTCAAATTCACGACAGATGAACAATAAGTTCTATTGTTATTCTATTGGATACAATTAGCAGATTTACCTATCAGCGAAAATAGCTAAATTAAAAAATTGTAGATATTTCTCTTTTTTAATAGACCCTTCAATTTCCTCACAGCTGTAGAGGGACTGTGGTTTAATCTCAGACAACTAACAGACCGGCAACATGGCGTTTTCTATTGAAGTAATGCTGCCACGCTTGTTTAGGTTATCAATTCTTATATCTAGTAAACGTTGCGAAACACCGGATATTCTGCACACTTCTCACAAAATAACACAAGATCAATTCATATTCCAATCAACTATCGCAGGACATAGCTAATTCTTATTACCTCCATGACCACACCGGAATTCGAAAATCAATTTTATGGAAGAATCCAGTGAATCTGAGGACGGTAGTTATGAACAACGCATTTATCACTTACTAATAACACACCCCCAGTTTTTATCGATAACCGGATTACGCTGATACACTGAGGGATATCATGTATATGACACCAGCTATCCCATGTTTCAGCACCCCTCAACACAGAAACACACAAAGTGGTATGATCACTCGAAATGCAGCGATATGCCCTTTCCGAAAAAATGTCAAAAACCTTCCGCAAAATCATTATATATTCAAAAACTATTTGAGGTATATACTAAGACATTCAGTTACTTGTAACTCGCCTACATGTTGGCCGATTCTTAAAATTCTTATACAGCTGCAAAGGTCAAAATGTTCAGAACGCATCTCCTGTTTTGAAAATGTCTAGATCCGTTTTTACAGAGAAATAAGCAATTTCCGAAGAAGCGCGAAGTGTACAGAATATCTATGTTTGGTAAACTTTGACAGTGTCTATGTCAATATTGCTGAGCTTGGCACACATAGAATATACAACTAAGGCGATTAACACCTTAAACAATAGGCGTTGCCAGTTTGTTGTATTAGTAGTCTGAGGTTTAATAGGACATCCAAATCTCACTACAGGTTTATTTCCTGGATTAATATAACAATGGCAAACAAAAGACAGATGCGTTAGGTAAACTTCTAATAGTGTCCCATAACTCCCTGGTGCAATCCCTAAGATTGACAGCTCCCCCTTTAAAAATTACGTTTGGATACATAATCCATGGTTTGGAATTCTAGGTGGTACAACTCTCTAACAAAAAGGAGCAGCAACAACACAATGGCTTCCCATTCATTATCTACTGATACTTTGTATGTACTACAAAACCGTCAGTGTTCTCCCATGTCCGCAACAACTCAAAACTATTTAGTTAGGTCATAAGGGCATGTCAGTGTCAAAAGTCTTTTATTCCAGATAAATTACAAATGGTCTTAGAAGGACTCAAAAGTTACGTGAACAAAGTAACAGTTGTGTCATGAAATTAGTTTTACTAGTACATTGTACGCCCTTAAGATTTATTGATCTTAAAACAACATCATGTATGGTTCTTGGGGTACGGTATGAATAAGCCAATAATGAAACACACTATAACAGTGTTGGATATCAAATAGAAATTCATTATATAATTCTACTAGTAATTGTACTAATTGTAAGTGAAAATTGCTAACAATTCAATGCCACGTTGCTTTTGGCGCAACTGTAAACCGCTTCAGTTTAATTTTGTGCGGGACATACAAGTTTTTTGAATCAGTGATATTCATTAATATTTGCAGTGTAAATATTTCACTGAGGTCCTGAAGTTACATGGGATCACACTGATTTTCACGAATGCCATTGTATCATCAATCATATATTTTAAATGATTTATAATTCTTCCACTAGAATGCTTTGCTGCTGTAACTCTAAATGTACTGGGTTCTGGTCATCATTCTTTTGCATTGTTGGCCTGATTGAATACATATAACAATGCAACCCTTACTTTTTATAAATGATAATTGGCATACTTGTTGTTGAAACTAAATTAATTTAGTGTTGTGTGTATATCAACAAAATAGTTCCACCCAAGTGCCTGCCAACCAACCAATTGGAGGGGATACAACACATGTTTCTAGACTATATTATTATAATATAGATATAGAGCTTTTTAGCTCTATGCTTCAACTAAATACATGTAATTTAGTTAACCCACAAAATCATTATATGTACCAGAGAGAATGGGATCTATTTCTGAAACTATAAAAAAGGCACTCATCATTATTGCAACACTCCCAGAAAGCTGTATAATGTGTTTTTGCTTATTCTACCACCACCTATGGAGAAATGTGATACAGTGAAGTCACAGCTAGTGGTCTCAGTCAATGCTGTACCTACCATATCAGACTTACATGATAGTATAGGCATGAACATTTTATAGTGCATGGGTACAAACTGTGTTGCCATGGCTACTTTATGTGTCGCTGTCAACAGATGATCTGCCAGCGTGCGAAGGTTGTGTTGGTAGCTGACAGTTGCATAGTGTTGTGCTGTGCAAAGGAATGGACAATTAGTGGTTTTCTTATAACATAGAACTACCGGTATAAATGGTTTATAGTTCCATGCTTATAATAAATGGAACTCTTGACCCTAAATGGAAAGTCACTTTGGGAGGAAGTTATGTTAAGTTGGGTTTATTAATTTGATGGTAACCAATCATGCAGTACTGTAAAATACTTTATTTTACCTGGAATTTAATTTTTGCTGAAAAGACTTATTTGTTTTGTATTGATTTTATTTTCACTGTTTTATTAACAGTTCAATCAAAAATATACGAAAAATGCTGGATTTTATTTTCACTAAATCATTCCTTTGGCGAAAATAGTAACAATTAATTCCAAGCGAAAATAAAGTATTTTACAGTACATCATGCATGTGGTGCTTTACCGTATACAAACTTTGACATAATAGTTTGACACAAATGACAGAGTAAACTGTGCCCAAACATTATTGTAACTGTAATCTTTTCAATGAATGTTTATATCAGATGTTGTCTTAGGAGAATAATGAGACAGGGGGAAAGATAAGCATTAGTTTATATCATTGATTTTTTTAAATAAGCACTTATTGCAGACCCCAGGTTATTGAGAGGTTCTCCTCTATGGTGCTTGTAGCCGATCAATGTCATATCTCGCCTAAAAGGTTAAATAATGTAGTAGTTTGTTTTTAACATTTCTTATCTGCAATTCGATTATCTAAGCTCTTGGCTACAAACAAACACTGCTATTATTTTATTTATTTATGGCATTATAATCTGTTTTCCTACAGCTTTATATCTTCAGATTAGTCACTTTGAAAAGACCATTTGTTTCAATTTCCTGTGCTATTATTGCATATAGCTATAGAGTCATTGTTAAAACTGCCAACAGTCAAGTGTGAGATTTATTGCATTATACCGTATTGTAATTGAGTTCATTGCAGTTGTAAGGAGGTTAGTTCTTACTGCAATTCATAAGTATGCACTTGAGTGGCAGTCATGAGCAAGTGATGGTAAACATTTAAACGAAAATCAAATTGATTGGGTGTAATTTTAACTATGCAGTTGTCTTTATGTGTGTTCTATTGGTTTCTGCCCACCAGCATATACATATAGCTATAGGGCTCAAATGTAAATGTGGTTGAAATAATTTATTACCGTAATTTGCTCTATTAGAAAATGTATATGTACAAATGTATATACAAATCAGTGATCACAATGCAACGTAAATTACAGAGGTGTTTCTATGGTAAAAATAAGTAAAATTTTAATGATTCAGTATACAACAAATGTGATTTTATTTTTATATACGCTGCTATTGAAGATGCTTGTAATAGAGCAAATACAATATATGTATAATTTTATCATGCTGCATATTCTAGATAAAATAATTTTAAAATAAATTTGCATACACTAGTATTTTGCATATGGAAGCCATATCAAACACAGCACTGTATGACACAATTTGTCTCTTTCTTGTAATCGATGCGAGTCAATTTGTATTGATTTCTGCTAAATTCATCAAATACAAGAATAACACTCTTTTGTTTTATTATTGATTTACTTTGTCATGGAGACATACAGTAGTCAGCTCTATGTAACATTATATCATCAACTTTTATATTTCTTTTTTTTTTCAGAAAATATTATATGGAAATTAAAAGATTAGAAGATGGATTTGATTTATCGGGTCCTGAGTTACCACGACAACATTACCCAGCAAAGAAGCCAGTAAGTGAGCGTAGGAAAGCGGTAAGCTAAGAATTACAATATATCTGACATGCATGGTGCACTTTGGTGTATAAACAAAGATATGATTTTATTCGTTTGGCGAGCCGAGAAATAAACTCTAAAATGCTACGACTGGAATTTGATTTAAAAATTCAAAAAGTAATTCTTAGCATTATTACTGTCTTTGCCATATTGTTCTGAACACCAAAACAGCAACATTGTCAGCTGAGTTGCTGATTGGTTTGTTATGCACGTCTCAAGATCGTTACATGATTAGAACTGTTTAGTCCAACCACATTTACGTTCGGCTGAATCCTCTCATTCACGAGCATTATGACATGCACCAGTCTCACTATGGACCGTGTTCTGACATTTCCTACTCTGTTAGTACATACATTTTAGTTGGATAACTTTGCCATTTATTATATACAAATTTATACGATTGAATGGAATAAATTGAAAGGCAATCGCATCGTGATCTTCTATTTTTATTCAACATGTCTGGGTCCCCCTATATTAGATTGACCTTTCCTGTTGAAGTTGGTTTAAACGTAACGATCTCCAGGCACGCATAGCAAACCAGTCAGCAACTGAGCAGGCAATGTTGCTGTTTTGATATTCGGAACAATATGGCGATGACAGTAATTTTAAGTAATAATTAATAGAATTCCTTTTTTTATTATTTAATACTGTAGTTAATTTAATTGCGTTAGAGTTTTGTTCTTCAGCGCCTTATGCACAGAATATGCATATTTTGTTACGGTACATGTTATATACATTTTTATAATGAGTTGATATACATTTACTAAAATTTGCAATTTTTATCATCACAGTCATATACTGGAAAATTATCAAACCCAAATCTCCCAAAAAATTTACAAATAAAACCAATTTGCGTAGAGCTGTGGCACATTCTGTATCACTTCTGTGAAGAACACTGCAGATGGTTTCATTTCAATTCCCGGTCAATTTCATATCTTTTATTAAACAATTTTTACAATTAATTTACAAGTATTCATTATCATTTTATAACTATTGTTTTTGTTTGTTTGTTTGTTGAAAGTTTGAGTCTGGTAAAACCACCATGGTCAAAGATGCCTGGGGAGACCACTGCAATTTATGTACCGTAGTTAAATAATTACTATCATCTATTTTCTTCATTGTCCATGATTTGAAGATTTTTAGACAATGTTGTAGGACCCAAGTGGTATTTTCATTGTTGCAAAATTTTCACTTACTGGCTAATATTTGTCTTGTGTGAAATTACGGTGGTTTGCAGTAATATATTGTAAAATACTTTATTTTAGCTGGAATTAATTTTCGCTGAAAAAATTTTTTTGGGTGTTTTGTATGGAATTTATTTTCACTGATTTTTGATGAGTTGAAGGTAAAACATAGGAAAATAGGTATATTCACTGAATTTTACTTTCACTGAATCATTCCTACAGCGAAAATAGCGAAAATTAATTCCAAGTGAAAATAAAGTATTTTACAGTAATCTGTCACAAATTTCATCCCTAGACCTGTTCGTAATTTGACTACTTGACTACTATTGTGTTCATAGTGACTGTATTATTTTCCTAAAAGTCAATTTGACTTCCTGTTTAAAGAATCGCTGTAAAATTTTCACTACTACCAAATTTCCCAGAAAATGAGTTTCACAAAATTAATGTTTGTTTAATGTGTTTTTATGAGATTCCATTATGTGACCTTTTACAATATGGCTTTATTTTATGCGGTTGCTCACAAAATCTAGATAAAAAAGAGTAGGCATGGTCACTGAACTGAAAATCGACCACCTGTGTTCAAGTAAATTATGTAACAAAACAAAAAATGTAATATTTTAATCACTTCTATTTAATAGGTTGTATGCTGCTCTTGTATAGCTATAAATTACACTTAAATTATACTATATGATATGGGGTTTAATTTCATTATTTTTTTCACTGAGAAAATCCAGCAAATTAAAACCTGAGTGCTATCTCATAATAATTGAGTGCATTTATGCAAAGTCACATGACTCAGTGAAATATTAACTGGTACAAAATATCTAACATTTTACCAAATTTCCTAAAACTTGCTTTTCACAAAATTAAAAACAATTCAGAGTACTGATAAATTTGTATCGAAAATGGTGTTTGATTCTGGTATCTACTGTTGGCATGGCAATTCAATCACAGTGATAACACTTCAAAACTATGAAAATAATTATGATATTTAATTCTTGGTCACTGTGTCACTGGTAGCATTACATGGACATACTTCATAGTAGTCATGGTTACAGGCTGTTACTTTGTTGTTCAAAGAATGCCAAATCCATTAAAATAATTCACTCCTGATGTCCTGTCATCTAGTTATTGGTGCATAATTGGCATATGGAGCCAACATATAAATGACTACATATTTTATCTATTGTTGATGTCTTAGCATTTCAACAATGTGGTGATTTTTTAGCGGAAGTCAAATATTGCGACTCATGATTATGATGATTTTTGTTAATCCAACAGTTATTGCAGTCACAACGCCAAACATACGCCCAGAAAATTTGTTTTCCATCATCATACACATCAGATAAAATTGTGTGTGACACAAATTTGTTAGATTTTTAGAAGAAAAAAAAATATTTTTTTTATGAAAATCACAATAACAATATTAAAAATAAATTAATGCATGTTCACCAATTCTGAAAAACAAATCAAGCAAAAACTTGTTCTGGGACGTTAGTAAACAAGTTCATTGTTTACCAATAACTATGCGTGTTTGTCCCAAAAAAAATTGATTTGGATACAGCAAAGAATTCCTTTCTTTGCTCATAGAGCCTTGGGTCTATGCTTTACTCTAGTTTGTTTTTGCCTTTGTGATATATATATTAATAAAGTTAGGTATGCAATTTCTACAAATAAAGGCACCTGTTGAGATGTACCTGCTCTCAATCTATTTATAAGTTGTTTTACTCTCATAATTAATTTATAATGAGTTATAAATACAGAAAATGTATTTTATTTACAAAAAAAAAAAATTTCCTATACTATACCACTATCTATACCCATTCCATTTTATTTAAAATTAAGGTATACCAGTACTGTGCAAGGCTTAGTTTTTAACATGGTTTTATTTTCATTCATTTTGCTGATATCTTCTTAACATTTAAGCTTCTACAGTATTAAGCTACATTTAGGTAGTTAGTACGCAGTAACACTATTTAGTTTTGTGCTGTTAAACATTGTTTCATTGTAGTACACACCTTAAAGTAAACTTACAATGTGTGGTATTACTGTTGACATAGTTTGAGTGAAGTGTAAGTTGCTAAGGTTCCTTTTATTTGATAGTACATGGTACAATACCTAATCATTGGTGGCCACCAGCCTTGACTTAATAGTTCATTCAGAGCTTGGAATTTTTATATTTATATTTAATTCTCTATATTTAAAAACCAATTATTTTAGTATTCATCCAGTGGCGAATTTAGAAAGGGATGTAGGAAGTGCGCATCTCCTCTAAAATTGTTGTTATGCAGATATATTCCACAATACAGAGCGACAATGATGTCATTGTAAAGGTACACCAACTCTTACTCAGCATGTTGCATCCACTTCTGCATCTATTCAGATCTCTCGGGTAACTACATGTAGTTATGATATTATATAGCATCAATAGGAGACAGATTCTGCAATTATGAATATACATGAGGGAGAATAATCGAAAAATGTTTGTATTGACACATGTATACAGACATAGCATTCAGTCCAAACAAATTATGTTAGCTTACTAATTGCCATCAATTAACATATTATATGAGGTCATTTAATCCTAGCAACAACAGTTGCTAAGTTATACAGTAGTATTTGATATATTCTAAAATTTTGCTAGATTGCTTTGTAAATATTCCTTCTCAATCGGCTACACCCACCCTAATTGATACTCAAAGATGCTAATACATTGTATTTAATTTTGTGTTCATACCTATTCACATTTCATTTAAAATTTGGTCACCGTTTGAGGTCATGTTCACATCTATCTCATCGCAGGGTTTGAACACTATCTATATTTACACATCAAGTTTTTCAACAGTGGGTTAAAATGAACTCTGAACGCCACAATTTGCTACCTGTGTGATCACAGTATAACTATCCCTATCTGCATGAAGCAACAACAAATTGGGTGTAATATTTTGGGGGGGGGGTACAGCATTTGGAAGTCAACTAAGGCAGATTCTTTGACCTCAAAGCATAGATTTATTGGTATATTTTCATGGTAGAACTGACAAGTTTCAGATACACTGGCTGATGGCTGAAAATGATAAATACTGTTCAAAATGGCAAATATTTAGATAGCAACAAATTTCTCTTCGGGTCTTCAAGACTGCATATTATATTAATAATTCCCTGGTGGTTCATTCAAACAAATATGGCAGAAAGGAATAAATCAAAATTGTCATGACTTCATAAATAATGATAATTTTTATTGAATTGTATTCTTATTTGAATCTTGATAAATTAAATTAGTAAAATAAAAAAAAAACAGAACAAAATAATTGGGTAAAACCTAATATTTTCATGGACCTTATTACCTATAATTGGCTCATAAAAAGACTGTACAATTTTCACTATCTTGCTTATGTACTGTAAACTGTATATTTTCACGCTTAGAAATTTTGGAGATTCCAAGATTTTATGGCATTCACAGAATTTGTTTGAATTTATTTCTTGCAAAATTAAAATAATGATAGTACCATATGTGCCATATCATTTTCACACACCTGTTAAAAACATTATATACATAGACGAGTTTGGAGTACCCTGGACTACATTACAAGGTGCATGAGCAGATTTACCTCAGTTTTTCACAAGCTGAATAGGCATACCATATATCTCCCGAAAGATATGTCTTACAATATATATGTATACCAAATTGCTAGAAATAATATTTTATGTCAAATTTCATGGTGTGTGTATATAAATAAAAAAAACGTATATTCAATATTTACGAAAATGTGGATAACATTTAAAATCAACTTTGTTTAAAAATTGTGAATATTAAGCTGGTATAGTAAAATATCTGCCTAATCTGCATATTCCTGCTGCCTGGAGGTGAATAAACGTTGATTGCGCAATGTTAGCTATACTGAGTAACCGGAGAAGCAAAATGGGAGAATCTGAAACCCACTATTGCTATGTAAACATTAATGTTACCAAAGACTCACACACACAGACAGACAGGTATGATGACAGTGTTCATAACACGCACAGACAGACAGGTATGATGACAGTGTTCATAACACACACAGACAGACAGGTATGATGACAGTGTTCATAACACACACAGACAGACAGGTATGATGACAGTGTTCATAACACACACAGACAGACAGGTATGATGACAGTGTTCATAACACACACAGACAGACAGGTATGATGACAGTGTTCATAACACACACAGACAGACAGGTATGATGACAGTGTTCATAACACACACAGACAGACAGGTATGATGACAGTGTTCATAACACACACAGACAGACAGGTATGATGACAGTGTTCATAACACACACAGACAGACAGGTATGATGACAGTGTTCATAACACACACAGACAGACAGGTATGATGACAGTGTTCATAACACACACAGACAGACAGGTATGATGACAGTGTTCATAACACACACAGACAGACAGGTATGATGACAGTGTTCATAACACACACAGACAGACAGGTATGATGACAGTGTTCATAACACACACAGACAGACAGGTATGATGACAGTGTTCATAACACACACAGACAGACAGGTATGATGACAGTGTTCATAACACACACAGACAGACAGGTATGATGACAGTGTTCAT